CGTGCCTTTGCTAACGTTCGAAAGTTTGGTTTTAATTAGGTCACATAATCAGCAAATGAATCTTCCCACTGTGCTGTTTGTCTCAAGTTATTGTGGAGGCCAAATCCTGGCCCTGGCATGCCCAGTAGGACAATCTAATCACCAGTAATACGCAATCTAGGCTCGAAAGATTGTTGTCTTTAGATCTGAAATATAGTCTTAGCCAGCATAGAGGTGAAGATACAACTTGATACTACATTTTGTTTTGCTAAACCTACACTTGTGGCAGAATTTAATACCATCTTGAAATCTTTCTTATGCTTTCTTCAGAATCCTCTCAGGTATCCCCTTCTCAGTGAAACCTTCCCAGAGGCCATTGTCAGAATTATTGGCCCCTTCTTGTCCTCCTGCTTCCACTGGAGCACACACGTCTTATGGCTGGGCTCCTGCTGTTTTGTGCCTGATGTTTCCCTCCCTGAATTATGAGTTCCTTAAGCCATCTTGATGGAATAGAAAGAGTTCAGGGACTTGGAACTGAGTCCCTGAGTGTGCACTTCAATATTGTTCTTTCCTGGTCACGTGTCCCCAGGAGGCTACAGGCTTTGACCTGGATGCTCCGCTCTGTAGTGACCATTATCAGATGGCTTGTTGGGCGATTGTGTGAATGGGTGTGTAACTACCTCCCTCTTCTTCTGCTAGGAGAAGGCATCAGATAAAGGCTTGCTGAGGTTTTCCTTCTGTAAGCTCGGGATCATGACTTATCAATCCTTGTATTTCCTCTGCAGGAAAAGTCGGGCAGAGTGGGTGCTCAGTAAACTCTTTACAATTGAATTTAATATTCTCTCTTTTAAAAGATTGAGCTATGTTTATTTTAGGCATATAAAAAAGTACAAGATGCACAAATAAGTGTTTGGCTTTCCCCTAATAGCTGATAGTGTATGCTTTTCTGAAATATACGAAATGTATCTTGAAGTAATTACTAAAGTTCTGACAGATTTATTTCTGGTTTGTTAAGTTTAGAAATCCTAAACATAACAGGAGAAAAAAATAAATATTACACAGGAACAAAAAAAAACTGTATTTAACAGGCAATTCCTAAAGGTTACCCATTTTTCCTGGTTTATAGGTATAAATTTTCTGGAAGAATTAGAAAAATTGATAATAGCTACTTTTGGGAAGAAGAAGAATGAGCCTTTTAGTTTCATTTCATGTATTTCCATGTGCTTTGAATTTTTGATCATGTAGGCATATTTGGATTTTAAATAGACATATATAAATATATAGAGACATACACACACATATATATGCACATACATATACATATGTGTGTGTGTTAAGGATACCTGAAGGAATTGAAGGATGAGCCATTGTTATTTTACTCTTTTATATATTAAAACCTCTAAGGATGTGATGAGTACTGGGTGTTATATGCAACTGATGAATTATTGAACACTACATCGGAAACTAAGCACACACTATATGTTGGCTAATTGAATTTAAATTTAAAAAACACCTCTAATGAGTATTATTTTTGGCAGCTTAAGTACAAAGTGCTAATGATAAATGGAGGTGATCTTCCCCTTGTCAAGTCACTGAGCCATCTCCATCACAGAAGTCAGGGGCAAGCTCAGCTCACTCAGCCTTTACCGAACGTTAAGAAATCCAAGGGTGGGCCTGTGTTTTCACACTACTGACATTTGGGAAAATCTAATGACCAGTTAGGAGTCCTTAAAGTGCCGGAATCATCACTTCATAAATCTATGGTCTGGCTTAGTGAAGATGAAGCTACAGGCGACTGCTCAGAATAAGGAGAAATGATAGGATATAGAGCCCTGTCCAGCAGAAGCATCATGCCTCCTACAACCAGAAACACAAAGGAGTTGCCCTCCTTTGGAACATAGCATGTTCCTTTTTTTTTTCCCCTAGGGCAGAGGGAGGAGCAGAAGGAGGAGAAGAAGGGAGAGAATCTTAAGCAGGCTCTATGCCCAGCATGGGGCTCATCACGGGGCTTAAACTCACAATCCTGAGATCATGGCCTGAGCCGAAATCAAGTCGGATGCTCAACCAACTGAGCCATCCGGGTGCCTCCATAGATGTTCTTTTTAGCAAGAAACTGAATTTTCATTTTTCCTTGGCACCACCAATGTATTCAGCATTGACCCCCTTATCTCCCACCAGTGGTCAGGAATGTGCCCATTTGGAATGTATGCTTGGGTAGAATGAAGCAGCATTTCCCCTGGATCTCATCTATCGTATTCTCCTACCTTGGACTTAACTCTAATTTTGTGAGTTAAGGAGAAGACACCTCAGACATTTCAAAGGGTGCTTTCAGGTCTGGGTGGTACTTCCCCATAGGCGCCTGGACAAACTGGGATGTTTTCCTAGGAGGGCAGCTGGACTTGTTGAGGAATTGTAACCGTGTTGCACAAAGAACTGCTGATGGACCGAAATGTCACCACTCAGTTTTCTGTGATCAGATCATTCACTTCTCTGCTAGTGAACTGGATTCCACAGTATTAACCTCAAAGGATTGTCATGAGGAGAAAATACCTTAATGCATGCAAACACTTAGAACTGGTAAGGGTTCAGCAATTGCTACTGGCTGGCTTTTGTCCTCGGGGCTGAAGCTGCAAGAAAGACTCCCACATCTTTAGACTGCAGTGGCCACAGGCCCCTCCTAATCTATAGGAGCTCACCTTTTGGCTTTTAAAGTCATGGATATTATTATTTTGAAAAGCTGAGCTACTGATTATCCTGAGAGGCATGTGTAGCCAACTTGAGCCCCTGATGCTATAAATAAGAGAGTTGCTGCCTGTGCATTTCCCTGAGTGAATCTGTCTCCTTTGGGAATTCCTTTGCCTTGTGCTGATACATTTTATATATATATATATATATATTTTTTTAAAGATTTTATTTATTTATTCATAGAGATGCAGAGAGAGAGAGAGAGAGAGAGGCAGAGACACAGGCAGAGGGAGAAGCAGGCTCCATGCAGAGAGCCTGACGTGGGACTCGATCCAGGGTCTCCAGATCACGCCCTGGGCTGCAGGCAGCGCTAAACCGCTGCGCCACCGGGGCTGCCCTATATATATATTTTTGTATATATTTTTGATACATTATTTAAATTGTCTTGTAACCATGCCCTGCCCTGGGCTTCATGATACCAGTCTTTTTTTTTTTTTTTTTTGAGAAGGATGCTCTGTGTATGGTTAGCTCTGTGATACAGAGAAAAATATGTCATCCCCACCAAGCCAAAGGATGTCCACTTCCCCTTTGCAGTACCCCAGTCGAATAAAAATGCCTTCTGTTTTGTCTTATTGTACAACTGCTCCGACATTCGCCATTCACTATAGCTGCCTGTATTCAGCTATATGCAAAGCAGCGTCCGTATGTCATTGATGTCAAGGTCATCAGACTTTGCCAGGTGTCCTCCTTCTAAGTCTCGTATTGATCCATTAGCTGTGTATTAAGCAAATGAATTCAGGGTGAGTGTTTAAATAGGATATTTCCCAAACTAATCTAAAGCAATAAATCAATGTTATGTGGTTTTTTTTTTAAGATTTTATTTACTTATTCAAGACACACACACACACACACACACACACACACACACACACACAAGCAGAGGTAGAGGGAGAAGCAGGCTCCCTGCAAGGAGCCCGATGTGAGACTTGATCCCGGGGCCCCACTTTCATTACCCCTCCCCCACCCTCCGCTGAAGGTGGCACCAAACCGCTGGGCCATCAGGGCTGCCCTTGTGTTTTTTTTTTTTAACTTGTTACTTAGATGCTGCTGAGTATCTTGACTGTGCCTTTGAAAAGGAACTATTCAAGTGCTGATTTGGGGAAGCAGGGAAAAAGCAGGAATGGATGAGAGATGTAGTAGTAGCTTTGTAAAATGCCACATCCAGATATAACAGATTTTCATTTAATAATTATGTCATTTCCCCTAGACGTTGCATACTCTTTTCTTTCATCCCGAGACAGATTCTGTTCAGGGCTTCTGGGGGCCGGTTTTTTTAGAAGAAGCAAGTGAGTTAGAAAATTAGAAGACTCGTGGGGCATCTGGGTGGCTCAATTAAGCATCCAACTCTCGATCTCAGTTCAGGTCATGATCTCAGAGTCATGAGTTCAAGCCCCCATCCCCTGTCCTGTTGGATTCCATGTGGGCATGGAGCCTACGAAAGAAAAGAAAAGAAAAGAAAAGAAGAGAAAAGAAAAGAAAAGAAAAGAAAAATACAAATGTGTACTCATAGTGACTCCAAGAGGGACATTGATCTAACTCTTGATTTTCCATTTGTTTGCACTATGAAAGTAAAGCCACCTATGATAAGTTAATAATTCCCAAACTGCAACAGCCATTTTTCTTCTCCTTAGGCTTCTTAAGTTTCTGACTGCAAGAGAAAGTTTTTCTTTATGAGCAGAGTTTGAGCCTATTTTAAGATTAACTCTTATGATCTCTAAACCCGCCTTCCCTAGCTTCCCTTTCCTTCCCAAGGAAGGGCCAGGGCTTTTAGAAGACACTAGAGAGAAAGAACCTGTGGAATCCTCTAGAGAGTCCCTAGGAGTCCAGCCTTGGCCTAGTCATCTGCTATAGGCAGAGATTTGAAACAAGCTGGGGGGTCTATTTTGACCAGGGAGCCCTTGACTCAGTCTCCCATCTTGTCACGTGGCCTTGTCATGTGCTAAGCTGGGCATTTGGACCGAAAGCAACATGCACATGAGTCAAACTCCAGGATTGTCCTGTGTGGAGACTCCTTGTGCCTGCCCACCGTGTACCATTCTCATGAACCTAAAAAGAATGTCACTGTTTTGTTTTTTTGACTTTATCATTGGTCATGACAGCTAAAGGTGACCCACGGAGCTTATTTTCCACCTTGAAAGGTGATTCGTGTATATTGAGGAATGTATTTTTCCCCCAAGCAAAATGCTGAAATGTATTTAGTCTCTTATTCATTTGTTCTTACATGTGTCATTTACTCCCAGTCTCTAATATGTTTCTTTGTCTCCTGTTTGTTGCAGGCAGCATAGTGTACCTGGGGATGATGGCAGGGGCTTTCTTCTGGGGAGGACTGGCGGACAAAATAGGAAGAAAGCAGTCTCTTCTGATTTGCATGTCTATCAACGGATTCTTCGCCTTCCTCTCTTCATTTGTCCAAGGTTATGGGTTCTTTCTCTTCTGTCGTTTACTTTCTGGATTCGGGTAAGGTTTTTTTCCTTCATATTTCACAGTAATGTGTTTATTCTTCATGACTGTCCATGTTCTCCACTCTAGAGGACCTCACTACTGAGAAATTACCTCTTAACACACTTCTTCCCCTACCTTCATGTTGGCCTTAGAAACTGCAATGCTGGCTCTTAGAGATATAATTACCCAGAAGACGGAACACACATCTGTATTCTTGGGGCTGATTCTTGCAGTATTATACTTCTAGGAAATGGGTTTTATTTTAAGTGGAATCTTGTTTCTATGGCAGAAGGCATTCATAAATGCATTTTTCTTCTGAAAATTTAATTTAAGCAAGAAATAGCCCTCGTCCTACCTATTATGGGCTAGTAACGGTTCAAACTATCCAAGCTTGCTCTTAAATCCAGGATGAGTGTGTCTCAAGAAATGTTATTTTATTGATCTATGTTAACAACATATTTAACTTGGTAGGAAGCCTACTTCTTGAGATGTAATATGTTCTTTTTTGTAAGTTCCTGATTTTTGTTGAATTAACAGAAGTTGTGCCATTGGCCATGTAAATGGAATAGTACCATACCCTCCCCCTCCCCCTTATCTATAGGGGATGTATTCCAAAACCCCCAGTTGATGCCTGAAACTGTAGATAGTACCGAGCCCTATATAAACTATGCTTTTTCCTATGCATACATACCTATGAAAAAGTTTGATTTATAAATTAGGCACAGTAAGATATCAACAATAACTAATAATAAAATAGGACAATTATAAAAATATACTGTAATGAAAGTTATGTGAGTGCGGTCTCTCAAAATATCCTACTGCACTGTACTCACTCCTTGTGATGATGGGTGATGATAAAATGCTTATGTGATGAGATGACATGAGATGAATGACATAGGCATAGTGACGTAGTGTTAGGTTATTACTGACCTTCTGATATTGACTTAGAAGGAGGATCATATGCTTCTGGACCACAATTAACAGCAGAGAATTGAAACCACAGGTAGCTGAAACTCGGGAAAGCAGAACTGCAGAAAACAGAGGACTGCTATATATAGCCAATGCTATAGTCATTGTCTGCAAAGAGCTTGAAGCACCTGTTACTATACTAAATGAATCCATCACTGAGGAAAATCCAATAGCTTAATTAGGAGAGTTCAAGATACTCTGCTTTGATAAGGAAAAAAATTAGTAAAAATATAAAATTTGTGTTTGAGAACTTTCTTTTCATTAGAGATGTTCTTTCTGAGGTATCATGAGATGAATCTATAGGAATAATATAACATAAAAGTAAATAAATAAAGAAAGGAAAGGAAACAATCCTGGGTTATGAATTTGAGAAGCATATCAGGTGTGATTGCTGAGAGTGGTATTCACATAGCAAAACACAGTTTGGTCAGAAGAAAAGGTCAGAGAACTACAACATGCCTTCCTTAATTATATGTGATAGTACTTTTTTTTTAATTTTTATTTATTTATGATAGTCACACACACAGAGAGAGAGGGAGAGAGAGAGGCAGAGACATAGGCAGAGGAAGAAGCAGGCTCCATGCACCGGGAGCCCGACATGGGATGATCCCGGGTCTCCAGGATGGCACCCTGGGCCAAAGGCAGGCGCTACACTGCTGCGCCACCTAGGGATCCCTGTGGTAGTACTTTAAAATCAGAACTAAGGTTAAAGGGAATCTAAGGCATCGTGGAGAAAGACTGTATAGTCTGATTACTTTAAGGGTACAAAGATTCCCACATGCAAACTAATGGATCACTTTTATAATTCATTCAAAACATTTTTTGAGGGATGCCTGGGTGGCTCAGCTGTTGAGCGTCTGCCTTCGGCCCAGGGCCTGATCCCAGGATCTGGGATCGAGTCCTGCATCAGGCTCCCTGTGTGGAGCCTGCTTCTCCCTCTGCCTGTGTCTCTGCCTCTCTCTCTCTGTGTCTCTCATGAATAAATAAATAAAATCTTTAATATATATATATATTTTGAAAACTTTATTTCATTTTATGCCACAAAATGTATGTGCATACTGAGATTGGTGGACTATCCACAGATTTTTTTCTGATGTGCTTTCTCATCTTTTTATTATAGCCCTGCATATGGAATTCATATTCCACAAACAGTGGGCACTTGGCAAATATGTGACTGAGTCGCATAAATCAGGAGCTTTCCTTAGAGTGGAGATGTTCTAGTAGACCATTCCAATAAACCAGGAAGGTCAGAAACTTTGGGAAAATGTAAAAATACTTTTTACCTGGGGAAAAAAATGATCAAAATCAATCATTTGCTTCGTAATGAATGATGGAGAAAGGAAGCTTTCCCTTGGTGCTCAAAGGGCTGCACGAGATTGGCGAAATAACACGGGAGGTAATTTGGATCATGGATTCAAGTGGCTGCAGCAGACCTAATGCTGGGCAAATTGGGGTACCGGAGGAAGAATGTGTGTTGTTTGGGCCTCTTTGTTAAAGGACCTTCTCAGGGTCCACAGGATAAGACATTCTTGCCACCAGGAAAGGCCAAGGCTTCCTTTTGCTTTCTCTTACCTACATAATACCACTAGCCTGTCAGGAAAAGGCTAATGGCCTGAGTTCTGAGCTTTCCTGTCCTTCCATTTACAATCTTATCAAGGAAATTTCAGTGATATCCACAGATTCAAAAGTACCTGACTGTGGTCAAATTCTTATGGCAGTTTTAATCGCCAGTTCTGGATTGTGATGTGGTCAACCCAATTGACTACAGAGAAAAAGGCCATTATGGTGGTTGCAGGATGCTCCGAACTAATGGACTGTCTGGAAGTTAATTCAAGGGCAGGACAGAAGTGGGGACTGCCTGGGCCTATTCATGATATCATCCTCCTCCCTGTTGCAGACAAATCATTCTTTAGCCTATACCTCAGTGATGCTGACTTCTAAATAACAGAATTTACCTGGCAAAAGCACAGGCTGTTGTATTGCTAACTCAGCTAGGCTCCATAAATCGTGATAGCAGAGGTTAATGTGCTGTGCCTTTGCCAAGTTGGCACAGGATTGAGAGTCCAGAAATCCCAGTCCACCTTACCCTTGCCCTTTACTGGGGACCCTGGGAGAGTCATTCAGGCTTTCCAGGCTGATTCTTCTTTTGTTTTTTGTTTTGTTTTTATTTTTATTTATTTTTGTTTTATTTTATTTTAGCATAATACACTCTAGTTCCATCCATGTTATTTCAAATGACAATATTTCATTTTTCATGGCTGAGTAATACTCCATTGTATGTATATACCACATCTTCCTTATCCATTCATAAATAGATGGATATTTGGGCTCTTTCCATAATTTGGCTGTTGTTGATGCTATAAACATTGGGGTGCATGTGTCCCTTTGAGTCACTATTTTTGTATCCTTTGGGTAAATACCCAGTAGTGCAATTGCTGGGTCATAGGATAGCTCTATTTCTAACTTTTTGAGGAAGCTCCATACTATTTTCCAGAGTAGCTGCGCCAGTTTGCATTCCCACCAACAGTGTACCCACCCCTTTCTCTGCACCCTCACCAACATCTGTTGTTTGATTTTAGCCATTCTGACTGGTGTAAGGTGGTATTTCATTGTGGTTTGGACTTGTATTTCCCTGATTATGGGTGATGTTGAGGATTTTTTCATGTGTCTGTTAGCCTGATTCTTCTTTTGTGAGAAGAAATGAAGATTCCCTCGGCTTGGGGTGGGGCTGAGTGGGATCCCTGGCGGCAAAACAACCAGAGTTTTGTGGGATCCAGCTCCTGAGGGAGCCTGAGAAATGAAATTATTAAGGAAAACAAAGAAAGTTATCTTTCTTTCTCCTCAGCTGAGTTTGCAGGCCATGTCACCTGTACATAACATGTGAGCCACTACCTCCGTGATAGAGGGCTTTTCTCTAGAGTTCCATTTAGACACCCTGTCTCTGAATCTCTGCGTCATCTCAGTGAAGACTCCGGTTTCTCCAGAGATCTTGTTTTTTCCTGCTTTAGTTAGGAGCTCCATCTGATCAGGTTTTAAATTAAGTAAAACTAAATGACCAAAGAAATAAGGCTTCAGAGTGTTGGGATTTTTCTGTCGCGGGCCTCTGGCGCTCAGAGCCTTCAATGCTCCATGTGTTTCTTAAGAGTGTTGCTCTTGCTGTCTTTTCTGCTTCTGAGGTTCTTCTCTCAGAGACCTTGGAGTTCAGGGTCTCAGAGAGGCCCATCCTGAGACCTGCCCTCCCTGCAAATAGTTGCCTTTCATGTGTTTATTCCTCTCCTTCTCCAGATAGCAAATTCCAAGAGGCTGGGGCTTATCAGGTCAAAGCAAGGCAGGTTTGGTTACCGCAAAGAACACAAGTCCTGCCAGTGGTGGAGTTTGGCATTGGCCAGTTGATCGTGGTGTTGCCACAAGTGAAACAGGTAGTTTGCTAAAGTCTTATTGATCTGTAGAAGCAGCAAATTCTAGGTCAAGTGAATGAAAGTTTAACTTGAATCATAAAAAGTCATGAGGCCCATGAAAGAGTCACGGCACATCAGTGAATTCCCAGACCTGAGCCAGTTTGCAGACCCAGAACACCTCAAATGAAGGGGAGACTGGGTCACTTGAAGAAAGACCCCAGTACACTACTGAGACTATATACCATTAATATTCCACTCAACCTTCCCCCAAGGGATTTATATCATTTTACTAGGGTAGAAATGCTGAGGGGAAAGGAGTCAAACAGACTCTGGGGGGGCTTACCAGGCACTGGCTCTGAACTGACACCAATTCCAGGAGACCCAAGATGTCACTGAGGTCCACTCGTGTAGGAGTTCATGGAGGTTGGGTGATTATAGAGTTGTAGCTCACACCTATCTCAAAGTGGGTCCAATGGGCCCCTGAATCCATCCTGTGATTATTTCCCAGTTCCAGAATGCATAATTGGAGTAGATATGGTTACTGATAGACTCTTCATGTTCTACCAGTTTCATACGCTAGGAATTTTAGAGGAGGAAGAGAATTTCTGGGTCACAGGCAGAGCCTTCATTTTGCAGATTAAGGTTCAG